TGGGCATTACCAGGCCAAATTCTCCATGAATCCTGTGACCTCAGCCCAGGGGGGGACCTACAGGTGCTACGGCTCATACAGCACCTCCCCCTACCTGTTGTCACACCCCAGTAACCCTGGAGCTCCAGGTCTCAGGTGAAGGGTCCCCAACCCTGTCCTTACTGACTCCATCAGCTCAGGGCCCAACCCTCAGGAAAACCTGACAGTGACAAATAAAAGGTTCAGGGGACTCCGTAGAGTAGGGTCCAGCCCAGGAGAGGTTGGAAAGAGCAGGGATCTCCACCCAGGCTCCCCCATCCTTCAGTCTCAGCAGAGATGAGAGGTAGGGTGTGGGTGAGGGGTGGGTGAAGGATCCTGAGTAGACAGAGGCCTCCTACTCTCTTCCTGATGCCTCCATATCAGAATCTGAACTGTGGTGTCAAGCCCCATGGACTCTCCCCTAGAGGGAAGTCTCTATACCTGTGGGCTCTGCTCTGCTGCCCCCTATGCTTACCTGGGGGCCTCACTGCCACTGGGTGCACACCTGATACCAGGTTCAAAGCTTTTCAACCTTATTCGTAAAAATGGTGTCAATTCATAGCTTGTTTTAAGAATTGGTTAACTACTTTAATACCACAAAGTAAGTTGTCTGAATAATAGTTAAGTATGCCTAACGGAGCTATTGGTTTGGGCATATTTTTATGTGCCGTTAACTCACTATGCACTCTCTGACTTCCCATTGCTGTTTTTTTTTTCCTAATTAATTTATTTATTGGGACACCTGGGTGGCTCAATCAGTTGAGTGTCCAAATTCAGCACAGGTCATGATCTCGTGGTTCGTGGGTGTGAGCCCCACATTGGGCTCTGTGCTGATGGCTCAGAGCCTGGAACGTGCTCTGGATTCTGTCTCTCCCCCTCTCTCTGCCCCTCCCCTGCTTGCACTCTGTCTCTCCTTCTGTCTCAAAAATAAATAAACATTAAAAATATTTTTTAATTCAAGTTAGTTAACACACTACGTAGTATTGGCTCAGTAGCAGAACCCAGTGATGTATCACTTAAAATCATTCTCTATTTTTATCTTATTTTCCTTCCCTTCCCCTATGTTCATCTGTTGTCTGTCTTAAGTTTCACATGTGAGTGAAATTATATGATATTTGTTTTTCTCTGACTGACTTATTTAGCCTTAGCATAACACACTCCAGCTCCATCCACATTGTTGCAAATGGCAAGATTTTATTCTTTTCCATCACAGAGTAGTATTCTGTGTGTGTGTGTGTGTGTGTGTGTGTGTGTGTGTGTGTGTGTATCCTACACACACACATACACACCACATCTTCTTTATCCATTCATCAGAAAATGGACATTGGGCTTTTTGCATAATTTGGCTATTGTTGATAGTGCTGCTATAAACCTTGGAGTGCATGTGCCCCTTTGAATCAACATTTTTCTATTCTTTGGATAACACCTACAATTACAATTTCTGGGTCTAACATACTTCTATTTTTAGTTTTTTGAGGACCCTCCATACTGTTTTCCAGAGTGGGTACAACAGTTTGCATCCCCACCAGCAGTGTAAAGGGTTCCCCCTTCTCCCCATCCTGGCCAACATCTGTTGTTTCCTGAGGTGTTAACATTAGCAATTCTGACAGGTGTGAGGTGGTTATCATTCTGGTTTTGATTTATATTTCTCTGAAATGAGAGATGTTGAGGATCTTTTCATGTGCCTGTTAGCCATCTGGATGTCTTCTTTGGAAAATTGCCTATTCATGGTTTCTGCCCATTTCTTCACTGGATTATTTGGTTTCGTGGGATTGAGTGTGATGCGTTCTTTATAGATTTTAGATACTATTCTTTATCTGATATATCATTTGAAAATACTTCTCCCAGTCCATTGGTTGCCTTTTAGTTTTGTTGACTGCTTCCTTCATTGTGCAGAAGCTTTTCATCTTGATGAGGTCCTTACAGTTCATTTTTGTTTTCGTTTCCCTTGCCTCCAGACATGTCTAGTAAGAAGTTGCTGTGGCGAAGGTCAAAGAGGCTACTTCCTGTGGGATCCTCTGGGATTTTGATGGTTTCCTGTCTTATCTTTAGGTCTTTTATTCATTTTGAATTTATTTATCTGTATGGTGTAAGAAAGTGGTCCAGTTTCATTCTTCTGCATGTAGCTGTCCAGTTTTCCCAGCACCATTTGCTGAAAAGACTGTCTCTTTTGCATTGGATACTCTTTCCTATATTGTTGCAGATTAGTTGGCCATAAATGTGTCAGTCCATTACTGGGTTCAACTGATCTATGTGTCTGTTTCTGTGCCAGTACCATACTGTCTTGTTGATTATAGCTTTGTAGTACAGCTAGAAGTCCAGAATTGTGATGCCTCCTGCTTTGGTTTCTTTTTCAACATTACTTTCAGTATTTGGGGTCTGTAATTTTTGTCTCTCTCTCTTTTTTTTTTTTTTTTTTTTTTTTTTTTTTGCTATTTTGATTTTCATATTAAAATGAGGTAATAGCTTTTCATGATTTCCTTGTCTTTGTGTTCACTCGATATTATAATTCCACTGAACTTCTCTGTTCCTTGAAGTTGAAAACCATACATAGGGACTTCCTCAGTTTGACTCTGTGAGATAGTGGGAGCAAAGTTTGTCTTTGACAATGTAAATAAAATGATTAGCTATCCTTACTGGAAACATCACCAGATTTCTAGAGTTTGTCCCAAAACACCAAGATGATGATGGAGCCTCCCATTATGGACATGCCTCCCTGAATTGTCTCCATTCACCAAGCCTGAGACCAGGTGTTCCTGTCGTCTTCCTGCCCCCAGGCCACAGTCATGACTGAAGTTCTGTTGAGGAACATACAGACCACACCTCTCTGTCTCTCCCTTTCTCTAGACAGGAAGATCTATATATCCATACAAATACCGTGATTATGTATTCATTTATCTATAATATTTCTGTTAATATAAATATATATGGTTATATATGTATATACAAATGATCTATGAATATATAACACATACATCTATATCTATATCTATATCTATATCTATATCTATATCTATATATACATACATACAGATATTCATCTTCATGGCCATGCTCTTCATTCAAATTTTTTTTTTTTCAACATTTATTTATTTTTGGGACAGAGAGAGACAGAGCATGAACGGGGGAGGGGCAGAGAGAGAGGCAGACACAGAATCGGAAACAGGCTCCAGGCTCCGAGCCATCAGCCCAGAGCCTGAGGCGGGGCTCGAACTCACGGACCGCGAGATCGTGACCTGGCTGAAGTTGGACGCTTAACCGACTGTGCCACCCAGGCGCCCCAGCCATGCTCTTCATTCAATAGCTTTTCACAATAGGATCTCCCTGCCTAGACCCACACACAAGCCAGGAATAATGGTGTTTATGTGACCCAGTAAATGAACATCACCTTTAAGAAATACATACTAATGTGTTTTGTATAGATGTGTGCACCTATCTATGTGTATATCTACCAACCAGTGTGGGCATTTCTAATTATATGAAAAATGAATTAATGAAAGCACACGAGGATGTAAAGTTCCAGGTACAGATTAAAATGCAGTTCCAGAAAGATGGGAGCTGGCTGAGATGGAGGGAAGGAGACCCTGCCCCGGAATATCCGGTCCCTCTGTGCTCCTAACCTTCAGGAGCCCCTGATACCAACCCCTCATCCATGGATGCTGGATCCTTGGCTGTTGAATAAATGGGAACTCTCAGCTGTGGGGACACGAGCACATGGGGTTTTGTATCCCAGACTGAACAGGGGACATATAAGGACACAATTATTTCTGTGTTGGGAGGATATTTTTCTCCCCAACCCTGAGCTCCTAGGGCACAGGTAGCATCTACTCCAGAGTGACTCATAAGCAAAGTCTGAATTCAAAGAAGACATGGAGATGGAAGAAATCCAATGAGTATGCCAAAGGAAACCCCATTACTGCAGAGAAGGGGTTGTTCAGGAACTGTATAAAAACTATGTAATGAGGAAATGAGGGATATAGAACACAGAGTCAGAAGACAGGCTGGACAGTGGTCTCAGGCTCCTGAGCATCTACTTCTATTTTCCCCACAGTAGCAGCTGACACCATCAGCCCACCCCAAAACAAGTCAGACCCCCACATTGGTGAGTAGAAGAAAATCTCAGTTTTGGGTCTGGCATGGAGGGTAAAGTCCTATCAAGGGGAGGTGGGTGACTTTGGTGGGCATCCAGGATCCGGGGT